AAAAAAAAAAAAGGAGGCGTACAACTCACAGTTCTTCATCAAAAATCGATTGAATTGACTCGGAGTCGGCTCCGCCCTCCGACCGCTGGTCGATAAGATGCTGCACGGCGAGTTTCAGTAGTTCCAACCAGTATAGTGCTCTGGATTTGACTCCAAATAGCTTCGCGCTGATTGCAATAGCTTCTCCCGTGTAACTACAACATAAAGATTCGAGCAAATTAAACCTTTAAACATCACATCTCAATCAACAAGAAGCCAGATTTCGCACATAGATCGGAAAATTTTTGGAAATAAGACAAAAACTAGAGACATTTTGTTGTGGTGAAAGTGAAGGGCTTGGGATTGGAGATCGCGAAGCTTGGCAGTTTTAAGAGATGAAGCCCTTTGCTCTTCCTCAGTTAGAGCTTTCCTAGGCCTTCCGTGCATCTTTTCTCTCTCTCTCTCTCAGTCGTCGGAGTCCGCCGTACCGATCGACGTTTGGGTCTTCCTGCAAAAGGACTTCTTCGCGTATCTTAAAAACGTGTTATTTCTATTGAGAAAGCGGAAAAAGACAGAAATTGAGAAGCGTTTTTTGTCACCGACTAAGTAGACAAAAAAAAGTTGTTGATTTCAGACCTATTATTTTATGCTATGTTACTTATGGAATGATTAAATCTTTGCTAAGTTCTTGCATTTCCGAGTTTCAGTCTGCCTTTTTCCCAGGCATACAAATACTTGATAATGTAGTAATTGCAAATTATTGCATTCACTATATGAAGAGTAAAAAAAAAAAGGGAAAAATGTTTCATGGCCTTAAAATTAGACATGACAAAGGCCTATGACCGGGTTGAGTGGGGTTTTTTGTTAAATGTTTGCAGGGCTATGGGGTTTTTGTGAGAAATTCCTTTTTTTGGATTTGGTATTGTATTAGTAATACCGCTTTTTTCTTTAATTTTGGTGGCCAAATTATGAGAAATGTTAATGCTTTTAGAGGGTTGAGACAACGTGACCCTTTATCTCCTTATTTGTTTATAATTCTCTCTCAAGCATTATCAAATCTCCTAAAGCAAGTCAACCTTCACCATGGTTTTCAGGGTTTGTGTGGATATTTGTAAGCTTATTGCTAGTTTTTGGTGGGTCAAAATGAGGGGAGTAAAGATAGGATCCATTGGACTAACTGGGAGAAGTTAGCTAAGCCTAAATTAGAGGGGAGTTTGGGGTTTAAGAAGTTTCGGGCCATGAATGATGCTTTGATATTAAAGCAACCGTATAGGGTTCTTACATGTCCCAACCTCTTGATGAGTAAAGTTATCAGAGGCAAATACTTTTTTAATAAAAACTTAATGAATGTGAGCAAGAAAAATTCAAATTCATGGATGTGGAAGAGTTGATTTGGGATGAGAAAGTATTTGAAAATGGGTCTTAGTATCAAATTGGTAATGGCTTAAGTGTTAAGATTTGGGATCACCCTTGAATTCCTAATTCCCCTAATTTTGTACCAGTGTGTAATTTTCAGAGTGATAGATCCTCTTTGAGTAGAGTAGCTGATCATTTTGTGGTAAGAAAAAGAATTGTTGGGATGAAGAACTTGTTAGACAGTCTTTTAGTCTTGCGGATGTTGAGAATATATTTAAGATCCATATTAGCCAGTTGGGGGTTAAGTATAGGTTAGTCTGGGCAAAAATCCAATTGTGGTCCGTTAATTTGTCCATTGTCCACTTTTGGTACACTAACTTGTCCATCATCAAAAAAAGGTTCATTATGTTACACTTTTCATCAGTTTTAGTACGCTAATCCCGTGGTCCGGGATTACGAGATGCCAAATCAGTTATTTATCCTAACACGTCAACATCTTATTCCTCCACGTAGTTCTAATCCCGGTCCACGTCATCTCGTAATCCCACCAACTGGAGTAGTGCACTAAATCTGATGAAAAATGTAACATAATGGACCATTTCTGATGAGGGACAAGTTAGCGGACTAAAAATGGACAGTAGATAAGTTAGCGGACCAAAATTAAATTTTTGCCGGTTAGTCTGGGATGCTGATAAAAAGGGTAGACTGACAGTAAAAAGGGTTATCATTTTTAAACTTATAAATCTGGATATATTTATAATCTGATTTTTTTTTAGTGGTCTAAGTTTTATTTTAACCAACTTGGGTATTATAAACTCATATATCAATTTTATTTGGTATTTTTTTTATTAATTAAATATTAATTGATTAGAGATCTAGTTGTTCGGTTTTTATAAAACATAAGTTTCCCAATATAGTTATGAAGAATCCAACAGTATATATAACAATTATCAATCAAAGCAATCCGCATTAAAGGTGATTATGGTGAAATTTGAAGTGGAAATAACATATATTTAAGCAATCCAACATTAAGGTGATTGGATATAAAATATTTTTGTTATGTTTGGATTTATTGCAAAAATAAGTTAATTTATTATTTTTTTTTAAACAAAAAAAAGTTAAATGAGTTGAAGTTTGAGTGAGATTTCGATTTTGTATTTAAATATTATTTAAAATATAATAATTAAAATTGATGATTAATTAGAATTGATATGATATATGATAATATTATTTAATCCTCCCTATATATAATTTCAGAATGCGCTGAGCCTACATGGCTGTTTCTGGTGCTTCGAAATCCTATTTGGCGAAGAATCATGCTTCGTAATTAGGTTTGGACAAATAATATTAATATATTAATAATTAATAATCTAGGTTCGGGTATTCCATAAA